ACAAGAATAATCTACTGTAAGCTTTTGAGTGTATAATATACAAACAAGTGTATGTGAAAGAGAGACACAAAGAAGAAAAAAGAGAAATCAATTAAAAGATTAGTAGAAGGATTTGAGGATATTGTTGTGCGACTTCATATTTCTCATGAGTTTGCATTATGGGTGCACGTCCAGCGCTGCACCTGTCCATCCTGCTCGATGCATCGACTGACCTGTTGCTGCTGGAAGGACTTTAGTCTCTTCTTGAAGCGAGAGGGGAGGACAAAGTCACACCCCTTGGCCAGAAAGGCCAGCTCCCCTCTCAGATCAGGGTCTCCACGTAACGACGCCTCCTTGATCATCATGGTGGGGGACGAGACGCGTAACCCCCCACCAGGCACGGCCACCGGGGCGGCTACTGACACGCCGACTACAAACGGACCAGCTTGTCCGGCAACTTAAACAACCGTTGAGTAGAAACCGAGGGGACCTTTTGGAAAATAAGTTCCACTTAACAGCTCAGATATCCACTAACCAAAAAAGAAAAATGGACAAACACCTCAGGACAGCATGTGTGTGATTTCACGCTCTTTGACAATCACTCACAAAATGTTTCTCCTCCACTCGCATGTACAGGCTCCCAAAGGTCTGTCCTGTAACGCAGTAATCCAGCAGTGTTTCTGTGCAAAGAGATGTTCCTTAAGACTCCCGTGCTGCTGTGAAGGCCGGGAGGCAGGACCATGGTACTGGGCTGTTTTATGACCAAACCTCAGCCCCAAACAGCAGCTTCTCTCTGGGGTAGAAAGCCTGTGATGTCCCCCCTGTCAGCTCAGGTTGGATGTATTTGGTGTAGCCTCACTGGTGCCTGCCGCTCCAAGCTGGGCTCTGACAGGCTGCACTGAGAAACATGAGCCATGCCGGGGTCTGGCAACACACACACACACACACAGTGCACCGGCTGTCCCGAGCACCAGGGGGGGGGGGGGGGGGGGGGGGGCAGCCATGTTGCATATCTGTGTGTAGCGTTTTGCAGGATCTGAGCCCTCCTCAGACTCTGCCTTTACTAAAGTTAGCCAGTGGGAAGTGACAACTCAAAGTGAGGGATCCCAATAATTTTACTGCCGACAGGAAAGCTTTTTCAGCGCGAGTGGGATGGACAAGTGAGCTGAATTATTTTCATAGAGGTAATTTAGGATGGAGTGGTGTATCAGCGGGCAAGCACCTGTTGTAATATCTGTTGACATACAGTAATGCCTAAGCAAGGGCTTGCTTAGAAACTTGGAGCCGCATTCCCTTTTGCTAAAACATTATAATCTCTATGAGAGCTGATAAAAATAATAATGACTGTTACTCATATTTAAATAAGCTATGAGTTGATAAAGTGTCAGAAAATTGGCAAAACATGCTCATCCAAACATGTAATAAGGAATTATTTTCCATTTATTTTGATTTGACAGTTATCTTCTTGATCAATTATTTAATTGTTGGATTTTAAAATGTCAGAAGTAGGATGATGACCTAATTTAAGTAATTCATTAATGACACCTGCGAAAATAGTTTAATTTTAGATTCCTTTCCGAATGCTTTTGGTACGTAGTTGCTAAATTGAAATCTAGTAGTTGTGATCAAATTCTTACACCCTTTGGAAATAGCATATATGATACTAGATAATAGTAAATACAAGTAGGTTGCAGAGGCTGCCCTTTCACCCAGCTCTGCTGCCAGATCAGACCTCTTCAGTGCCAAGAAACACCAAGCTGAAGGCTGACAGCGCCTCAGCACAGGAGTAACCCATTTGAAACCTCTAAGACGGGTCCCTCTAAGACTAAGACAATACACCAAATGTTTGCCATATATATCTTTTTTTTATACTTTTATTGTCATTACACAGTAGGCCTACTTACTATGTAACAAAATGGTTTCTCTGCATTTGACCCATCCTAGTGTTAGGAGCAGTGGGCTGCCATTATGAACGGCGCACATACTGAACCATGGACTCTACATCAATGCTTGCTGCTAACTGTAAAAGACAAGGAAGAGGTCACTCTCTCAGCATCTGCTTGTGCAGTAAACACAGATTCACAGCATCGCAGATGGAGAGTCAAGTGCCCTCGAGTGCTATGATGGTCTCTATATATAAAGTAACAGAAGGATATATTATATTACATTACATATACTTTTTCAGAAACAGACTTTCAAACAATCTGGGGTCATGAAGTCGACAGGGTAAAAAACCGTTCCAAAAACCTAAATGATGTGCATTTCCCACAACAGGAACACTTAAATGTCGGTACACTGCATTTGTCTACATCCTGAATATTTTCTTGTGATTTTCTTTCCGTTACTATGCTTCTATTCCTGTTTTCGTATTATATTTGGATGTTGTTTAATCCACGGGACTCCTTGTTCCTGCTGCCCTTGTGACCTATCATTCAGTATGTGTTTCATCCCTTTGTAAGCTGTTAACGTCTCTGCATCATTGTCAACATGTTGTGTTGATAACAAATGAGCAACAGCTCTT